CTGTGCCAGGGCGTCGGGGGAGGCAGCCGCGCTTGCCTCGGCATGGAGGTGCCTGCGGCTCAGGCCGACGCTACCCCTGCCCTCGTGCAGGGCGAGTGGGTCCCCAGAGGTTCTGGCAGCAGGCGGGGGCTACCCACGCCCGTGTAGGGTGGGGTGAGCTGGAGGCCCTCAGCCCTGCTCCAGCTCACCCCAGCCCTGCGCTTCCTCCTGCACCCCCAGGGTCTGGCTTGCACAGCGTGACGCGAGCTCTTAGGTGGTGGCCTGAGGATGCAGCACGTGGGGCCCTCTGCTGCCTTCCCTGCTGGCTCCAGCCTGGGACCCCCCAGGGCTGTCACGCTCTGGGCAGGAGGCCTTGAAGCTGTGACGGCTGCTGCTGAGGCTGCAAGGAGCCCGGGATGTCGGGCTAGCGGGCCCCAGGCCCATCAGGACAGGGCGCCGCCTGAGGGGGCCAGGTGGGCACAGGACACCTAGTAACCTGGGGACATCCTGGGCCCTGGGCACTCTGAGCCCAGCAGTTTCGTGCGGCAGGCGAAGGGACACTAACCCAGAGGCTGCCCTGCCCCTCTGGGGTCTGAGCATGCAGAGGGCAGGCTGGGGACACAGGGAAGGCTACGAGAGCCACGAAGGAGGCTGGGGCTCCCGCTCACTCCAGGCACCTGCCCCGCGCCAGGCACAGAGCAGGGCACGGGCCCCGCCCTCTCAGGGCCCAGAGGCCACAGCCAGGCCCCGGCCGTGCCAGCTTGCTGTGCCCTGGAGGAGGAGCTCGCAGCAGGGGAAGAGGAAGTCAGAGGAGGAGCCTCAACTCAGGCCCACAGGAGGGACGGGAGGGGTGTTCCCAGCGAAGGGAACAGAGGTGCGTGCACAGGGAGCACCAGCTCTCAGGACCACCAGCCAGGCTGAGACCCTGGGCTTTTTCCTCGGCTGGAACCGCCTGGTCTGCCCCATTCTGGGCCCCGGTGGCCCAGCCGTGTGCAGGATCCAGTACAGGGCAGACGGGGCGGGGCCCCAGGAGAGGTTTCAGGGGAGCCAGGACAAGATTCGGGGCTTGCTGGAGGTGGGAGGCAGTGTGGGGCAGCTGATGCCCGGCCTCTGCCATGTGCGTCCGGGTGTGGGCAGGCTCGGCCGGTGGTGCCTTCTGGGGGCACCGGAGGGCTCTGGGGTGCCTACAGGCCACCAGGGCGGGAGGAGCCTGGGGGTTAGAGGGCGGGCCCAGGCTGGCGGGAGGCCCCTGAGCGTATGCCCACCCCACCATCCTCGCCCAAGGACAGTAACCTTCACACACTCCAGGGGCCCCCGCCCAGGCCGCGGGTGTCGTAACCACCATCCAGGCCAGACGCTGGGGCCAAGTTGCTGGAAGTTTAATCACTGCCACAACCCCAACCACACACAGGCAGAAACTCCCGCCCCAGCCAAGAGAGCTGTGCGCAAGGCCTTCCCCGAGGGTGCACAGGCGAGGAAGACCAGCGACGCCATGGGGCCCGCCTGGGCCCACACGTCCGGGCAGGCGCCTGGCCAGCCCCCATGAGGGGCCACCGCGGAGCGTGATTTATACCTGATTCCCACCCTCCGCTGAGGCCAGGCCAAGACCGCAGCCCCGCGATTGAAATTGGCCAGGTTGGAAGGCGGGCTGGGCTTCCTGGGGCTCCCTTGGTGACTGGAAAAGGCCCCCGTCCAAGCGAAGCGAGCCGGGCAGGGTTGGGGTCCAGCCACGGCACGGGAGGCTCCCCGGCCCTACGCGCCAGGCTGCTGGTGGCCGACTCTGCAGGCTGTTTGGGGGCGTTTGGGACACGAGCCTCGAGCGAGTGGACCTGAGGGACACTTGCCCTGTGCCAGGCCGGCGGGCGCCCGCGGGAAGTTGCCATTCTGCTGGGGAGGTCCGCACGAGAGCTGGTCTGCCCAGGGGACAGTTTCAGGCCAAAGGTGCAAGGAGAGAAACAGTCTGGACAGTGGGGAGAGTGACAGGTCTCTCCCGGGAGGTGACGACTTACTCTGAGCTAAGACTCCAGATGCGTCACAGGCCAAGGCTGGCGCAGGCAGCCGTGAACAGCTGGCACGGGGGGCCCCAGTGTGCTTCAGGAACAGAAGGGGCCTGGGGGGCACTGGGGAGGGAGGGCAGGTGGCCTGGGTCTGAGAAGAGCGGGCGCGGGGGCTGGGGCCAACTGGCCTTCAGCCCTGTCTTTAAACACAAAGTTAGAAACCAGGCTCTGGCTGGTCCTACGTGCTAGAGGAAGGGTGGCTCATGCCACTGCTGGGGCTGCTGCCCCCAGGAGGTGCTGGGGAGATGGCAGCCAGCTTGCTAGGGACAGTGGTGTGGCATCTGAGGCTCACAGAGGTGGTGGAGCTTGCCCAGGGCACTCGGCGGGCGAGCAGGGATTCCGGTTACCCCGGTCTGAGATTCGGGGGTGCCACGCCATCACAGGAAAACCCCCACCCTGGCTCCGCCCTTGGGAGTGGGACTGGGCCAGCCAAGGGTGTTTGTGCCCAGGACTGCCCCAGACACAAGCCGGAGGTGGCCCAGGCCCGCCCGGGCTCTGCCCCCAAGGCTGTGTTGTAGCCAGATGCCTCGGGGAGCTGGGCTCTGGGGGGTCTCTCTCCCCCTCCCCCCTTTCCCCCCCTCTGTTACTCCACCTCCCTCCCTCTGCGTGTCTGTCCCTCTCTCTCTGAAGGTGTAGATGTGTGTGGGGACAGGTCTGGTGTGTCCCTGAGGCCCTGGGTGGGGCACTGCCCTGTGACCCAGCCGGGCTACAGCCCCACTGCCTGCTCAGCGCCCTGCGCCTCCAGCCAGCCCAAGGCCTCCACTGTGGGCCGTCCATCTCTGACAGGGGAGGGGCCCCAACGTGGGGGACTGGTGCCCAGCGTGTGTGAGGGACGATGGTCCCAGGGCAGGCTGTCGTCACTGTGCCAGCCACGGAGGTTCAGAGCCCTGAGCCTCAGGCTCCCACCTGGCCCTCTGGATGCGGAGTCCCCGTGCTCCCCTCTTGTAGCAGTGATGGTCGTCAGTGACGGGGCCAGGCGCAGGCGGGTTCCAGCTGTGAGCCCAGGCAGGGCGCCGCAGGGAGGCCCTTGGGGGCCAAGATCGCTCCACCCCTTGGGAGCTCAGTGGGGCTGAACTTTGCCAGCAGGGCTGCAGGGACTGGCACCACTGCTTCTCCGGCCGGAGCACTGCGCGGTGATAAGGGCCCTCCACCCACCCACTGTCCACATGTCCCGGGGCCACCGGCCTCAGCGAGCACGTGGCCTGTGCAGATTCAGCCCCATGGGGTCGGGCTGCTTCACCATCCTAGGGTCCTCTCTGACGCTCAGGCTGAGTCCAGAGGTGGGGCTGGAGCCCAGGGGCAGGCAGGGCACTCCTGGTGCCAGCCGAGGCTCTCTGAGGGTGGCTCTCTCCACGTGTCCTGTGTCGCAGCCCCCGAGGGCCTCCTTCCCAGGGGGCCAGGCCCCTGAGCGCCAGAGCCTTTGTGGCCCCCCGGAGCTCTGTGCTTGGGAGGCTCTCCACAGCAACCTTTGCCCCAGAAACATGGGGCAAAGACGAGTGTGATTAGCAACCCTGGGCTCCCATGGGGACAGCTGTCGTGCTGCTAGCAGGCGGGGCCGCAGACCCCTGCCAGCCAGCCCGCGAGGCTGTGCCAGCCGCACCTTTGCCCAGAAACCTTTGCTCCCACAGCGGCTGCGAGGGTGATTCAGCCCCGTTCTGGATGTGCAGGGGCACCTCCTCCCCAGCCAGAGCTGTCCCCCCTGCCTTGGGGCAGCAAACCCAGGCCGGAAGCTCTGAAGCAGGGTTTGGGCCTGAGCCCGGGGCCCACTGAGGCTGCCCACGTCCGCTCCTGGGGAGACACGTGCTTCTCTCCTCCCGACGCCCAGAGACCTGGCGGGGCTATCCTGGCCCCAGAAGCACAGGCCACTCACGGGTAGACATACGGTGGGCTGGAGTGGACAGGTAACAGGAGCCTGCCCCTGAGGGCAGAATGAAAAGACAGAAGGGTCCCCAGGTGCAGAGCTTGGGCTGGGAAAGCCCAGCACAGAGGGCCACCCCGCCCCATCCCTCTTGCCCCTCCCGCCTCAGCCCGTGTGGGGGCTTCGTGTCCTCCCCGCCCTGGTCCTGTGGGCCCCGACTGGGCTGCTGGTCTCCACAGCTCACTGCAGCCTCCCTTTGAGCCACAGGCGTCTGGTGGCCTGACATGCACCGTCTGGCCGACCGCATCCACCTGGAGGAGCTGGCCCGCATCGGCGTCCTGAGCGGCAGCGTGGACGCCATGGTCCAGGCCCACCTGGGAGCCGTGTTCATGCCTCACGGGCTCGGCCACTTCCTGGGCATCGACGTGCATGACGTGGGAGGCTACCCAGAGGTCAGTGTGGACGTGGCAGCCAGGGTGGCCTGCCTGTGGACTGTCTGGCCACCCCAGGGCAGGGCGGGGCTCTGGGAGGCAGCTGGGGGTAGTGGGACAGGAGGGTTGGGGCCCCCTGGCTCCCCGTGGCCTGAACAAGGCAGGGGTGGAGCCATGAGTGTTCCTCCTCTAGTGGCCGCTGCCACAGGACGTGGGCACAGAGGCGGGCGGGCGCCGTTTGCATGCAGGGCCCGGCTGCAGAGCCTACCCAGGGGGCGGTAGACCAGCAGTGCACAGTGCGTGGGGTCCCTGCAGGACGACAGGGCTGAAGCCAGGGCTTTGTCACGGAGCCACGCTGCACCCCACACGTCCTCCTGCCTCTGGCTTCGTTCTGATGGGCGGTGAGGCTCTCCCCGTGGTGACTGGCCCCAGCCCCTCACGAGGCTGGCGGCAGGCCCCGCTCCCACACTGCTGCACCCTCTTCCTGCCAGGCCCTGGGCAGCACCCCTGTGGCCCTGCAGCCTCCCCATCTCCAGACACTGTTGGGACCCCTGGCAGGGCAGGGAGGCTTCTGGGGGGACATCTCCAGACAAGGCCCCTCCCCATCCTACCACGGGCCCTCAGAGGACCACCCAGAGGGTGCTGCTGGGCCTTTGGGCGGCCCTACTGGGCAGGTGGCTGCAGCCTCCCTGGGCCGGGATGGTGGGGTGAGCCTGTCCCTGCCGCCTGGCCTGCTGCCCGAGGCGCAGGAGGCTGATTGCGCAATCGGTGCACGCCCTGGGGCCCCCAGCCACTCAGCCAAGACGAGGCTTGGCCTCTTGGCTGCAGGGTATTTTGAAAGCACTAAGGACGACTGGGGGGTGGGGGATTGCTCAAGAGAAGCATTATTATTCAATTATTTTTTCCTCAAGTGTAAACAGTTAAATTTGGAGAAACAAAATCAGTTTTAATTTCCTAATTTCTATTCATCCCATTGTGTGCAGGGAGCCAAGAGCGGGGCTTCCAGACATTGTTAGCTGAGGTTCGTTATTCATTAGTCGCCAAAGCACTTTTTTTCACCAGAGAAAATTGGCAGCAAACTATTTTCATCTTTTCCAGTAAGCAGCCCTTTGTACTCAGAGTCTATTCTTTTGACAGATAAACATTGTAGAAAAAATATGGCTTTTCCTATAAAAGCCATTTGTTTTATTTGAGGCCTACAGACACATGTGGGTCTCCTCTGCTCACAGCCTGGTAAAAGCCGAGGCCTTGTGCAGACCTGTGCCCAGGCAGGGGTGGGTGAGGGCCCGGTGAGGGGAGACCCCTCCCACCCCCAGCCAGGCTGCAGCTCCTGGGCCCGGGGCTCCCGCTCTCTGCTTGGCCCAGCCCTCCACTCCTCTCGGCCCTGCTCCGGCCGTGGGGCTGGCCTCCCAGGCACACCCCTGCCTGTGCCCCCAGGGGAGACCCCAAGAGCTAATGCTCTGAAGGGGTACCTGCAGTCAGCGGGCTGGGGCAGGCTCATCCTCTATGCCCCGGGATCCCTTCCAGTTTGCCCCGCTCCGGTATGAGTGGTGGTCCTACGGATTTCTGGGAGGAGGAAAGCGCGTCTCTCTGTGCTTCAGCAAACCTGCCACACACCAGGAAGTAGCTCGGCTGGGCCCACGGTGACGGAGGTGTGACTGGGAAGAAAAAGACATCACCTTGTCAGGCCTTTGCCTTCACCAGGCCCCGGGCATCGAGAGCGGTGGGGTGAAGAGAAGGGATGGGTGTGTAGTGAGTAGCATGAAAGAGGGACAGAGAGGGGTCCCAGGAGCAGGCACATCCTGGAGCAAAGACCCCGGGACCCCCAGCTCCGACAAGCAGCTCCTGGGCAGGAGACGGGCCCTGTGCTGCCCCAGTTGCATCCCTCACCTGAGCACGGGGACCGTCACTGCAGGCAAGGCCTTCTCGCATCCCTGCCCTCCTGCCTAGCCTCCAGATCAGTGGCCCAGATGAAAGTGTTGTGGGGCTGGGACCCCACCAGGCAGGTGTCTGTGCCCAGAGCATGACCCCACGGGGTCACCTCCCTCCCCAGCTTCCTCACACCAGGTCAGGCCGGCTGTCCCCACAGCCCTTCCTGCTGTGCCCAGCCTTGGAGGCTGAGCCAGCCTGTTTCTGGTTACCTTACTTGAACCACTAATTGAAGTCTGATGTTCTTGGCCCCCAAACAGTCAGAAATGACAGCTCCGTCTCCAACAGCTGGGCTTCCTGGGGGGAGCTGCGAGCAGGGAGGGCGAGCTCAGATCCTGACCAGAAAGGCTGCCTGCTCGCTCAGAGGCCCTGGCCGCGGGCCGGATGGGTGCCCAGGGCAGGCAGGGACTCTTCTGCAACTGTCCCCAGCACCATCTGCCTTCAGCCCAGGCTGAGGCCGTCAGCTGTGCCCTTGTGAGCGGGCAGGCCCTGGCTGATGTGCACGGGAGGGCGGGTGGGGGCAGACGGGCTTCTCAGGGAGCAGCTGCCACTGTCACTCACTCCTCCCCAAAGACCAGGGGCTGTGTCCCAGGGCTCGGCTGCAGGGCCAAGAGCCTCCTCTGGGAGCCACACTCCTAGGCCATGCACAGAGGTACGTGTGCATTTGCGCAGCACACACTGGTGCCACCAGGCCCATCCTGACAACAGCACCTGTCCCTCTTCTTGGACAGTCACATGGAAAACCTGGGACTTGGCCTGTGGGAGCTGGGACCAGCACTTCTGGGCCTACTTTCCACTTGAGCTGCCTGGAACAGGCTGGAAGGAAAGATGCAGCCCCAAGTGGCCTCACAGCCTCCTTAAGAGCTTTTTTGGCTTCAGTGGTTTGGCGTCTACCACCCCTGGCCGGGAGAGGGGCCTGGGCGAGAGCGGCCACACTCAGCCAGCCCCAGAGGCCCGTCTGGCAGCTTGCCCTGGCGTGCGCACACGGGTGTCCGCAGGGCTCCTGGAGGCAGTTCCAAGGCTAACGCATGGCCAGGGACACTCACGGTCTGGGTGTGTGCAGAGAGGAGCGTCTCAGCAGAAGCGCCCGGGCCCAGCACAGCGGGGCAGTGGCCTGGTGAGCCCACGGGGCCGAAGCTGGCCCTCGCTGCCCACCCGTCCCTGGGTGAGGTGGTGGTGCCAGTGCCCAGCCCAGAGCCCTCAGGTCCCCTGAGCTCTCTCCTCTCATCACAGGGCGTGGAGCGCATCGACGAGCCGGGCCTGCGCAGCCTGCGCACCGCGCGACACCTGGAGCCGGGCATGGTACTCACCGTGGAGCCGGGCATCTACTTCATCCACCACCTCCTGGACGAGGCCCTGGCCGACCCTGCCCGCGCCTGCTTCTTTAACCGTGAGGTCCTGCAGCGCTTCCGTGGCTTTGGCGGGGTACGTGCCCCTGGGCCCCACACTCTTGCTCCCAGAACATCTGCCGACCACTGCAGCTGCTTGTCACCTTTGTCCCAGGACCGGGCCCTAGTGGAAGGAGGGACGGTCTTGACCACCTCACTGGAGGGGGGCCTGGCCTGCCCCTCCCGTGATCGCCACCCGAGAAGTGTCCCACCCCCTCAGTGGGAAGAGACAGAGATTCTGCAAAACCCCTGCCCACCCTAGGGCTCCCGTCACCTGGCAAGGACAGAGCAAAATGGTGACAGGAGCAGATGGCCCCCCTATCCCAGGGAGCACGGTCCATTCCTCAGGAAGAGCTCCTCCTCCTCAGCGTTGGGGTCAGCCTGGAGCAGGTCTGACCCTCTGTCCTCACACAGGAGGCCGGTTCTGTAGTAATGAGTGTCTTTCCGCCTGACCCAGGTGCGCATCGAGGAGGACGTCGTGGTGACCGACAGTGGCATGGAGCTGCTGACCTGCGTGCCCCGCACCGTGGATGAAATCGAAGCGTGCATGGCCGGCCGCGAGAAGGCCTCTACTCCCTTCTCTGGTCCCAAGTAGAGCGGGCCTGGGCCTGGCCTTGCAGCCTCTCTCCACCACGATTAGCCTGCGGACGGGCCTTCCGCGGGGTAGGGGGGGAGACGGTGCTCAGAGATCAGATCCAGCATCCACATTTGATCACACCAAATACTGCTGTTTCCTAGGGAGGAAACGCTCTTTTTTTTTAAAATTAACATCCTGCAAGATCACATCCTTCATCCGTCATGTACCTTGCTCAAATGACCATGACTTAAAATGTTGATCGAATGTGATCCTGTTCTTTAGTAGCAACTAACATGTCTGTCATTTACATTCCTTTTCTCAGGAAAGATGCATTTCCAGTGTTTTCTCTCAAAAAATCAATACGCAAAATGGAATTTACAATAAAAGGTTTCCTAAAATGGCCCTTTGTGCTTGGCTCCTCTTTCTTCCTTTTATTTTTAGAGATGGGGTCTTACTATCTATGTTGCCCAGGCTGGTCCCAAACTCCTGGCCTCCAGTGATCCTCCTGCCTCAGCCTCCCAAAGTGCTGGGATTAAGGGTGTGAGCCACCACGCCTGGCCCCTCCTTACTGTTCATCCCTTTCCAGCTGAGCACTTGGGACCTGGGGACCCTGAAGGGATGGCTCGCCTAGCGCGAGCACCGAGAGTCAACTCCCAAGAAACCTCTGCTTCCGCCTCAGACTGGCCTGGCATAACAGGGCAGAGCCCTTCCCCGGGAGCCCTGAGACTCCGCTGGGCTCCATGTCACCCTGTCACTTGCTGCAAGGCTTCCCAAGCACAACAAGGCACCACAACCACTGGGGCACTTGGTAAAAGATTCCCGGAACTTACTCTCAGACCTTCCGAATCCGAATCTCCAGGGGTGATGCCCTGGGAATTGTGACTCCTCTAACAAGCAGCCCCGAGATGCTCCTGACGTGCGAGTTTGCGGACCACTCTCAGGCAGCACGGCGGTACGGGGCTGTGTCGAGCTTCCCCCTCAATACCCGCACAGCCAGAGCTCTGGGGCAGGCATGGGAGGGGTAACCGGCCCCGCAGAAAGATCTCAGGCACTCGGACTGGCAGAGGGACCGTACACCATGTCTTTGCACAGGTTAAAAGGCTGACCAGCAATGTAAGAAGCCTTTTTGATACAGTTACTTAAAGTTTGGGACTTGCAGAGATCCCTTGTCCCTGATTTCTTTTCCAAGTGGGACAGCTACAAAGCTAGCATCCGTCAGATGACACTTCCAACCAAGCACCACGGCAAAGGAGAGCTTGCTCGCTCCTTCCGTGTTTGGGGAGCCCCTTTGTGTTCCCAAAGTGCAAGCTCGCCGACCAAGCTCAACTCAGGCAGGAAGCCATCAGGGTCCAGCTGCGCCTGGTCCCTGCCAATGGTGAAATACCTGTCCTTACCTCTGCTTGTCCCACAGTCCCACAGAGCTGCCCCATCCCTGGAGCTGGCTTCTAGGATTCCGTACACCTTCCAGGTTATCTCCCCACAGCGCTCTCATCCAGGAGTTGCCGAGCCAAGGTGAAGGGCAGGTGAGAAGAAAGGATGTCAGAGATGAAACCACGACGGGGTGGAAAACTCCACAGCCCAAGCTAGACATTTTGAGAAGTCACTGAAGAATTTAGTACAACTTGGTTTTTTTCCTATGGAAATAATACAAAAGTGCTTATCATGTGGTCACATTAAAATAAAAGCCAAATTCAGTTCCAAATCATTTATCTTACTTACTTTTCAGATTGATAACATCCAATCTTTAAGGTTTTCTGCTGGTGCAGATACATATCCTCAGTTTCCCATCTGCGGCACTGAGCAGTCTGAGTGTGGGGCAAGCTCACCACGCACTTCTCTAGCCCTGCTGCCCGCGACAGACGCCTTCTGATGAATACGGTTTCCACTTCCCCCACTGACGGGCTAAAACCAAAGTGAGGCTGAGCCTCTAAATGGACAGTTTAATTTTGTTAATTAAGAACCACGGATGAGCGTATCAGACATCATTCTCCTTTCTCCTCTTCAGACTTTCCATACCAAAGCAGCCCCGTTTCACATGGACGCTTTCTCACATTATCGAGCAAGGAGAAATCTCAGAAGCTTAACCCTCTGTCCAGGAGGCACACCAGGAACATACATGTAACACATTTAGCCTGGGTCGGCAGGTCAAACGCACAGGTTTCAGGTGGCCAGCAGTAGCTACCTACTGTACCCCATGTTCCTGAGGATGTATCCAACTGTCTCCTCCAACCTCTGCAGAAATTTGTGTTGCTTGAAAAATGCATCAGAGACCCTCCCAGAAAACTGTACTTCTAAAACCCCTCCCAAAACTCTAGAAGGCTCTAGGTATTCATTCAATAAATAATGGAGCATCTGCTCTGTGCCAGCGCAGCATGAAAACACGAACCCTCCTCTCAGAGCCTGCAGCCTCTTAAGAGAGGCTTCACGGTAAACAAACATGCACAGATAATACATTGTCTCAAACACTGACAGGTGCCATGATGGAAAGCAGGAGGACTGGCCTGGTGCGGAAAGCTAGGGGCTGAGACAGGATAGGGCTGCAAGTGAGAAGCTAGAGGAGATGGTGCTGCATCCCAGATATTAAGGAGCTGTCCCGGGAAGGAGCAGAAAAAGCTGGGAAGAGCCCTGGGGCCAAAGCAGAGTAATGCAGGAGAACGGAGGGAATGTAGCTGATACAAAGACAAATCAGAGCCATGTCACCAGGACACTGGGTTTCCCCGAGTGCAATGGAGACCAACAGAACGGTTCTGGGGCACGCGCAGTGATCCAGGAATACCAGCGGCGGAGCCGGTCACCAAGCACAGGCCCGAGAGGAGGAAGGCTCTGCAGCGGGTGATGAGGGTAGGTTAAGCAGCCAGGTTCAAGATACATTTAGGACGCAGAACTGAAAGGTGGTGATGTGGAAAAGCACCAGGCTCTCACAGCTGCTTCAAAGGGAGTGGCAACCCTTGGTGTTTGGGCTGCAAAAAGCGTGTGACGCTCGACTGCCTCACCGACAGCTCCGTTCTTTTCCAAGCCCAGTTCTACAAGCCCAACTTTTCTCGATGCTGCTACATAACTTTCAGGCCTAGAGCTCTGTGAGAAGTCTAGATGTTGCAGTAAAAAGAACTTCTAGGCGTTGGTGTCCTCCCCTGAGTGTGTGTAAAATGCTTATGAACTCTCCAGGTACACACACGCAGTGCAACAGCAGTCGTCTAAAAGTGCTTTCATTAAAAAAGACCCAGCACCCTCACAAAGAAAGAACCTCTCTGTAAAATTCCCTGAGGGAAGTTATCGGATTCGAAATCATAACTAATTCATAAAAACAAAACGGGACGTACTAACCATAGAAATAACCACTATACTACAATTTGCATTAAGATGCCACAAGTAGAAATTTATTTCCCAAGACATGACAATAACTGAAGGATCATAGAAGAAAAGTATCTAAATGGCATCTTCTCTTGAAACACTTCAAATCAGCTCACTGGACTCACAATCTTTATGCAATCCGCAAATTCACTTCTACAATCTATGGCGTCACGTAAATGAAAATGATGAACGCACATACCATAAAACTGTGGTTAGGGGCAAGGCCTTACTTTACATTCCTGACTGTCCATCTCAAAACCTAACACTCTCTTACCACGCTGTAAATGGAAACCATGCGCCGAGACACTAAGTGATTAAGCAGAACCGATTTATCACTTTCCCTCTCCCAGCATACAGTTTTACATCAGACCAAGTGACTGAACTATAACTAAAGATGTATCCCATATTCAGAGAAACTATTTCTCTATCCACTAAGGGAAATCGGGGAAATCTAGACTTGGACAAAAGTACCTCTTCTTACACCTCCCCAACCCCGCCACACACAAACCCCCCAGGCTGGGACCAGGACAGACAGCATGGCATCGGCCTGCTCCTCGGGGCTGCTTAACATTTGGACGGCTTTTGGGTATCTAATATAAAGAAACCCACAATGAAATACAGTCATTGTTCCAAAGGTTGTTTTTTATTTTAAATTCATTGAAAGAAATAAAATTATACTTAAAAAAATAGAGTAATCTCACGAACGGAAAGTCAGGAACAAAAAGAACACGTTAGTACTTTTTCCTGAGAGGCAGATCTAATAGCTGTAGAATGGACTTTCTCCTTCCTAGCTTTTGTCAAACAAAAAAAACTTCCTATTTCTAAGGCATCAAAAAGCACTATAAGTGCTCAATGGTTTGTGCAGGTACAAAGTTACAAGCCCTCTAATGAGGATTAAGAAACATCAAAAGCTGCTACAACTTCCTTTCTTTTAAATATCAAATATTAAATTGTACATACTTCTACTTTTTCATGTAAATTTCAGAATTTCACACTCATGACCTGAATTTCAAAACTCTGGTCAAATTCTATGAAAATCTTACTATTTCTTAGTAAGAACGTCCAAAGCATCCCAGTAACCGACAGAGACCAGCAGCAGGAAGAGCTGCTTTGCTTTCACCATCTGCAGCCAAACCAGCCCAGAGCACCCATCCCAGGAGACTCAGATGCAGCTAGAAATTTACACTAAAGCCTAATTCCTAAACCACTGGTCTGCCTGCAAAGGCAGATCAAATCCTAATAGTTCATACGCAACACACAGAACAAAAGTTACAACAGTCACTTTACAATTCCCAAAGCTCTAAACTTACTCATTCCCCATACTTGGTTTCCCCTCGGTTTTATACTGATAAATCTATAAAACTAAAAACTTTCATTCCCAACCAGTTCGGTAAGATAGTCAAAACAATGGTTAACATTTCTGTTCCATGCACGATTGCTTGCTTGTGCTAAAAGTTTTGATTTGCATAGGAAAAGCTTTAATCAATTTTTCCAGAAGTTCTTGTGTTCTGATTTGAAATATTGAGTGCACACCCCTGATGACTCCCTAAAGCTTCTTTTTCAAGATACTTAATTCATATAACTTGTAACCATAAATTCCCTGGGGATTTCAATTTCTGAAAAATATTTTTTAATAAATAAGAGATTAAAATGTCTGTAGCACCTATTATAGGTGCTTAAAGATTCAACTGACCTAACTGCATCTCCAATTAATTACATAACATCAATCAGCTGTTAAAGATCACAAGATTTTATGGGTATGTCCTAGTTAGTTATTCAAAACATCTATCAACCTTTACGAGTAGATCAATATTCCAACCAAAGTAAACTGGTCTTGGACTCTAATAAAAACCTCCACCCTGTTTCTTGGCTCTACAGGGAGTTAATTACCCTCATGGGACAGCATCTCATGGAACAACACTGGGCTCCTGTCTTACACTCAGAAGGGCCGCGGGACCCTCATAATGGCTTTGCTGAGTTGCAGGGCACGATGATGTCCTCTCCTGCCCAGGAGAGAACAGCACAGTCAGTACTCTTCCACCAACCCAAGGGTGCAACTTGAGTTACATTCTGGTTACATTATCCCAAGTCCCACTATGGAACAGCAATGTGGCCAAAATGACCAAATGAGATACCTGGTAACACAAACTTTTTAATCAGATATGACTCAAGTCTCCTCACCAGCCCAGGCACAAAGAAATACACAAAAGCCAACAAATCTGAACTAGAATTGTGCTACAAAAAGCGGGAAAAGTTGACAAAGACAATCTAAACTACCAACGCTAACATAAGCCAGACTCTAGAGATCCCCTACATTAGTGACTGCCATGTTTTAGTCTCGACAAAAATGTCAAAATCCTGAGTTTTATCAGCATTTTCTTTCTAAAATAATTTATGGGACACAAAAGCATACAAATGAATAAGCAGAAGCAGTGGCATATAAAGTCTAGAAGAACAGTCCACTAACCAGAAAAATGTAACAAAAACAATACAAAAAGATGTATTTAAGTGAAATAAATTAAAGATTAAAACCTTACACGTTCAAGTTTTCTTAGACAATAATTTTGGGAGATGGCATGGAGTTGATACACTTTTCTAATAATCGCTTGCTTAAGATCAAATACCAAAATGATCCCTCACAAGAAATTTTGCCTTTAAAGCTCACAGCCCCATGGCAGTTATTTTGAACACAAGAGAAACTACATGCTGAACTGATATTCCAAATCCTAATAAGGAGCATGTGTCATCAAACTGTTAAGACATTTTGTTTCCTAAATTGACTGTGAAAATGTTATTCAAAACAATGCTTATTTTACTAGCATCTGCAGAAACTCAAATTCTGGTACACAAGTTTCTCTAAATCACTGAGTTTTTTAGGACAAAATGATGCCGATCTAATAACCCAAACACACAATTCTAATATGCTTACTTGTATTTTTTAATAAAACCTATTTTCTTCCCAAATGTTATTTGTACTTTTAAATCAATTGGTTGCACCCTGCCTTTAAGATGTGATGGGGTTTCTTTACTTAAACTGACATCACAATTCAAAAACTTGTACTTTTTGCAGAAAACAGTCCTAATTATGCTAAAACAAAGGTTACGCTATACCTAAAATCACTCCAAATTGCAAAGTGATTGGTTTCTATAGCTCTAAGGATTTATAATACATAATTTAGAATGAAATCACAAATAGATGAACATAGATGGCATTCTTTAATCCAATTAACCATATCCGCTAAAGCCAAGAACCACTCTGTACAACCTGCCAGTTTCCCATTCCTTTTTGCCAACCTAAACAAGAAGAATTTCTTGGGAAGTCAAGATTTATTACGAACATCAACAAGGTGCCAGGATATTTTTTTTACCATATACCTTTAAAATGATGTTTTTTTGATCCCCACAAAAACCCTTATCATTTCAAACCAGATATTTGAATTACATGGCTAACATTTTTAGCTAATCAACTCTTCAGCACGGACCCTAGAAAATAACCTCCAATGGATCTTTGAGTAATGGAACAAGACAACTTTCAGCCGTTGGTGTGAGTGTGTGGGGGTCCCATCCTCAACGTTCAAGCCACAAGTTGTGAAGTCTGGAAAGGGTAAGGCCTACTGTCCTGCACTATCAGAATCTGTCGTATTTTCAGTGCTAATGGGTTGCACGTTGTCGGCAAGGTTGTGTGCGTGCTCAAGAAACAAATCTTTTAATACACTTAATTCCTTAGTCAGCAATTTAATTTTTGCTTCCAACCGTTCGTTCTCTTCTTTGAGCTGATTCACTCTCTGCAGTGTATCCTGTGCTTTCTGCTTGCTTTTCAACCGGCTCTTCTTCACAGCCATGTTGTTCCTCTCTCGGCGCTGCCGGTACTCGTCACTGTTTCGATCCATGGGCGAGCTCTTTTTGCTTTGCTTGCTGGGAGCCACAGCTTTGCCTCCTCCCCCGGGGGCAGCGGGCACCAGCTGAGGAACCTGCTGTAAGCCACTGGCATGTGCCTGGGTGTGGATAACGCTTATTCCGTTCACTCCTGGAGCACTGTTTTGCTGTGATATCTTGCTCATTTGGGCACTCTCCCTTGCCAACACAGAACACGCAGAAATGAGGACAAGGTGATCAATGGTTTCCACGCTAAACTGCCAAATAATCTTCACATGTACCTAGTTAAAAAATAAATTGTATTAAGATATTTGAAATGACAGGATCAAATGAAATTAAACTTGCATGTACCTAACAGCAGGCCAACATTAATTGAGTGTGCTCAGAAAAGTCTACAGCAGCTGCCAACTGTTCCAACATTTCAGAAGTCTAAAGCATTTCATTTAGAAAGGTAAGTTCGTACAGAAGCACCATAAGGCTAAACTCAGCCCACCTGAATCCCTAAGGGTACTCCCCATCTGCGATTGTTATCAAAAATGGGAGGAAAACAAGACTACCACTAATTAGGCAGCAACACGAACTAACAGCACCTGACAATCTGCCAGGAAGAAATTTGAGATGTTTGGGTTAAACATGGAAAAGCTGAATTCGACTGCGATAGAAAAGACACCTGCATTCAGGAAAGGGGGGCGGGCGGAGTGTCACTTCTTGGTCCAAGTCAAAACAGAATGCTGGCATGGAGTCCGGTCTCCAATGTTCACGAGGAGTATTACACTACCATCTCCACCGGTTTCTTTTCCAATACAGAGAAGGTGTCATCAAGAACTTGAGTTTTCTCCCAGAGCTTCCTTTACAGGGTATTTTGAAAAGGTGTTTTTTTTGCTTATTTTTAAAGTGACCTCAAATGATAGTACCATGGTCTACTGAAATTTACTGAATTAGTTTCTTAGATTTAGGAGCTCTGAGACCCAATCTGCTCCCCAATCCCACCATGCTTCCAATAGTGTTTTTTTCTTCTTGACATAATAAAACAACTAAACACTCAACCTGAAACCACATGAAAAGAAACAAAAACGCAATGATGGGCCGGGCACGGTGGCTCATGCCTGTAATCCTAGCTCTCTGGGAGGCCGAGGCAGGCAGATTGTTTGAGCTCAGAAGTTCGAAACCAGCCTGAGCAAGAGCGAGACCCCGTCTCTACTAAAATTAGAAAGAAATTATTGGGACAACTAAAAAAATACATAGAAAAAATTAGC